CCGATAATCCGTGTTATCCACATGAAATCACACGTTAAGCGAGTTATCATTGGTGCTAGCTTAGCTATAATCACCCCGGTTCAGATTTTGACCGAACTCCGGCTCAACCCGAAGAAAACCGACCTGCCCGCTGAAAACCGAGGTCACCACAAACCGAGGTCACTACAATCAAAGCAGGTGACGAGGCGCACACACGATATGTTTTAACACCACAAGAAACCTCATCATTCAGGCGGGTCCCACTCACATGGTTGCCCATCCAAAAAGTCACTTTACATAAAGCGACCGTACACGCCTTGAGATACGAGCCAAAAAGATACTATAAATAGAAGATTCTTATTCTTGTACACGGATCGAACTCCGGACACTTTCACATATCTACAAAAAGCTCGACACCTTTCACCTCGGTTCACCTCGGACCAGGGCCATTGTTCTTGTTTTGATGCATGCTTTACGTTCATATCAACTAAAACACCTTGCTAATTTCATATAAAATCGTTGTTACTTATCAGACAACATCGGTGTACAATCATCTTTAATAAAACTAGTTTCGAATACACATAATTTATCTAAGAATATATAAATTAATGCACTATATGAAATGGAATTTCGTACTTTATAAAACAACACGTTGCACTTTATGAAACAATACATGTACTTTATAAAAGGGTTAATTGCTAAATAAATCTTAACCTTTTTTGCGTTTGGCAATTATATCCCAATCTTTAGGTAATTGCAATATAATCTCGACCTCAATTTACTTATTGCAAGTCAAACCTAAAACCGGTTGGACCTTCAAAAAATTGGTCGATTTGAAGGCAGTTCGAATAGATCGGAGCTCATAGTTACCGATTCTCTTCCAATCTAGGAGGAGACTCATCACCGGTAGCTTACATTGACGTGGAATTTTCGGCTTTGTGCGTGGATATACATTAAATACGTGGAAATTGTCAATTTGCTACTTGAATGGCATAAAAAGCCGTGTTCATGGACGACTTGGACACAAAATCGATCCACAAATCCCTAAAATCAATCACTCTGCACCAAAATTTACTACAAGTAAATTGAGGTCGAGATTATATTGCAATTACCCAAAGATTGGGATAAAATTGTCAAACGCAAAAAGGTTAAGGTTTATTTAGCAATTAACCCTTTATAAAACAACACATAACACTTTA